GATTATTTGTAAGAGTTCTGCTTTCTATGGAAAGACAATTGCCCAGCATTTTGGCTCGAGGTTTTCATTTTGGACAGCTTTTGTACACTCTTATGTAATTTTGCTAAAAAACTGTTATATTCGAAAATCATGTTCGTCTTTTGTCTTCGAAACAAAGTCATTTTCTAACATTGTCAAGCGATATGTCAAATAATCAGCTCTTGAGTTACATCGACGTGTAGTACAGATGTATTTTGAAGACAAATAAATATCATTATTGCTTTATTGCTATCATTATTATTGTGTTTCATTTAATAACTATAATAATATACTGCGCCTCAGATCAATTCCAAATCGAATAAAAATGAACATGTGCAAGTTCCCTACACCATAATGAAAACGTGTTGTATCTGTTATCAGAACTACATATAGATTTACAGAAAGAAGTCGTAGGTCACAGGTCATCAATGTCAGGTTTTTTTCGTTAAAAGATCACAGGAATCCAACGGAGTTATTCGAAATATTTGCGAAATGTTCAGATAAGAGCTGCTAATAATTCTCTTATGTGAAATATTATGTATGATAATACGAGGCATATCACAGAAGTGTTTAATGATGCATCAGAAAGAATAACATTTTAATCAACATTGAAGAAAGCTTCAGGCAAATGAAAAGCCCAATTATTTATATACATAATGTATTTATTTCAAACTTTTAATTTAGTCTTGCAAAGGTTAAAAAAGGAGTGGCCCAATTATACTAAGTGACATATAAATCCGAACACCCAGTTTAAATGGTTTTATTTTAATAAAAGTTGGTGAATGTATTTATCTTGCTGTAAATAACAAGTGAAAAAATTTTCAGCCTTATCAGTTGGACATTCCGGTTTTTATACTGCTTTTTTTTAATTCACTAACGCTCTAAAAATTAATGTTTCAGCCGCAGTAAAGAATCAACGTTGGCGGATTTTGGTTCTCAACATCCTTTATGATCGGTTACGATGCCTAGAGTACGGAGACCTGTACGATTTCGTCAACTTAGTGAGTTTGATAGGGGCCGTATAGTGGGACTTCGGGAAGCTGGACTTTCTTTTCGGGCAATTGCAGTTAGAGTGCAAAGAAGTGTAGACACTGTGGTTAGGTGTTGTCAGGCATGGCTTCGAGAAGGCCGTACGCAAAGAGCAAGGGGCACTGGACGCCGCCGTAGAACAACAGACCGTGAAGATCGCCGCCTAAGATTATTGGCCTTAAGGGACCGTTTCTCCACTACCAGGTCCATTGTAAATGAATGGTTTGCAGAACACGGAAGACCTATTGGCATGCGAAGTGTTTACCGACGAATGAGAAGTTTTGGCTTGTTTTCATACCGGCCACACTGGGTCCTCCCTTTAACTCGAGAACACCGACGTAATCGCCTTGAGTGGTGCAGACAACGGTCACTCTGGGATCAGGAATGGAACAGTATTGTCTTTAGTGACGAGTCTCGATTTTGTTTAGGCATGCACGATGGTCGTGCCAGGGTTAGAAGGCGACGAGGTAAAAGGAGGAATCCACAGTTTTTTGTTGAAAGACATGTTCATCACACTGTTGGAGTTATGGTTTGGGGTGCTATAGCTTATGGTTCCAGGTCACCTTTAATCTTCATCAGAGGTAACATGAACGCGCAGCGTTATATCCACGAAGTTCTAGAACCCCATCTTTTACCATATCTTGACACATGTTGCAAGAGTCACAATAGACTTCTTTCAACATAATGATGTTACATTGTTACCATGGCCACCAAGATCTCCCGACTTATCCCCAATTGAGCACGTGTGGGATATGATTGGTAGGAGATTGCTCAATTTGCAACGTCCTCCTCAGACTCTAGAAGCACTTCGAGAGGAGTTGGTGGTTGCCTGGAATGAGATACCACAGGAGGACATTGACCACCTGATCAGAAGCATGCCTAGGCGCGTTGGAGAATGCGTAGCACATCAGGGTGCATTCACACATTATTAAAGGTCAAAGGGCTTTAAAGCAGTGCAATCATTTTGAAAGTTTTATCATTTACTTATTATGCTTCATTAAGTACTTATACAAAATTTTATTAAAATAAAACCATTTAAACTGGGTGTTCGGATTTATATGTCACTTAGTATAGATATAGAGTAGAAGTGTATACACACCTCAAGCAAATGACTATAGAAGAAGTTGTCTGGGGTAGAACGTAAAACTAGAATATAGAACGCATCAACCTGATTGTCTCTCCTAGATATGTAACTTGGATTGACTGTCTAGTCAAAGTTCAGTCTGTGACAAAACTGACTGCCAATTTCCACCAACAGCAATTTATACGAGATAAGTCTATTTCCTATTATAGTGTATTTATCGTCTGCGGTAAATTATCGTACAATAAAATTCTGGTGAATGTGCCTCATATAGATGTGTGTGCATTCACCATAATTAAAAAAGAAAAGCTGCTTCCAAGGAGACAAGCCCCTTACATGGGAATAGTGCTTGAGCTTGTTGCAAATTTTATTCTAAAGTTCTCAGCTCTATGAAAAATATAACAGATAAAATGGATTATAAATGCTTCACCAATAATTCCAAAACGTGAAAGGTGAAAATGTGTACTATACAGGGGTTCCCATAAGTAAAAAATTCAATCATACTTTTGGACTACGCCAATCTTTGATGATTTTTGTCTTGGAGATACGGGGATATCCCATATGAGGCTTCAAAATCTACGAAAACTGTTACAAAACCCTTCCTCTCATGCAGGGTGTAAACGTTATTGAAATGGATAATAGGGGAGGTCAAAACAAGTCAAAAAGTTCATATGACCCGTGGTCCAAAAGTCAATAGATTTTTGTCTAAATATTTAAATAGTTTACAACTTTAAGTGTTTTATATAGACCACAATCTTACTAATTTTTATAATCTAATCTAAAACGTTTTTAAATTGGGTAATTAACAAAAAGATGGCATTAAGTTTTTCTAAGTTAAGCTAAAATTTGTAGTCAGTAAATAAGTAAGTTTCATTAAATTAAATATTTAAAACACACATGACAACAGCGCGTCGATCTTTCATCACTGTTATCGAACCGGCAATCGATCGCAAACGGTAACAGTGGTTAGTTATTGTTCGCGTACGTCGCCGTGTTTATTTACAATGTTCTCGAATGAACAGTTCGCCGACATGTTGTTAGTTTACGGGAAGCTCGTCAGAATTCAAATCTTGCAGCTCAACTTCGAGATACAGGAAGTGTTCAGCCCACTAATATTCGCACTCGTGAAAGACAGGTTACAGTAGACTAAGAGGAACAAATTTTAAATATCGTGGAATCAATGCCCCATTTAAATAATGACTATCATAACGTTTACACCCTGTATATGAACTATTCCGAGTACACCCGAATATATCCGGCAATCATCCAATTTCTCCGATGTCCAATGTGTTTAATAGTAACGTGGGATAGATTCGGAGGGTGATCGGGAATTAATCCAAGTTACTGTAACTTGATGAGAAATAGTCCTGCTATATCTCAGCAGTTTGTAACGAGTAAATTGGATTCTTATATTTTAGCTGTAGCTACATAGCCTAGTTTTGCAAACAGAAAAGCTTTACCTATGATTTTTGCTAATAAAAAGTTATAATAGTAAATTCCTGTTTGTTCTGTCTTCGAATGAGATTAGTTTTTCGAATTCTTGATTTATAAAATAGTAGCTTTACTCCAAAAAGGTGTCTTTGTTCTATGTTTGTAAACAACTCTGTCGCAAATCAAGACAATAATAAAAATGTCGATTTGATCTTGCCTCAACCACGGCATAACAATAAATTATACTTTTTGTAAATTGAATTTAGCTTTAAGAAAGTTTTGAAGTATGGATATTGCACTGTTTTGTTTTCATCGCTGTTTTTACTGTTTACTATTATACTCGGTATAAATGGTAGCACAGACTTATATGAAGCATTACGAATTTTTTGATGAACCTCTGCTTGGTATCTAAAAACGCAAAATGTGAATTTTCTTATAGCAATTTTGCTCTGCAAGTTCATATCCATAACATGTAAATTTTGTAAAGAATAGTGAGAGTAACATATAAATTTTTATTTTATTTTATTTTATTCATTACAACACCCTACAGTAAATACCAATTGCAGGGTGAGGAAACACAGACCATAACACAGATATAAAAGACAATAATAAGTAATAGACTACAAAGTGTAAAAGGTACATGCTGGTTACTTAATGGTATTTTTTATGTCTGCAATTCTGCAGTTAAATATATCAATCCTGTTACTTGCAGAATTGTAATTCCTACACATCACATGTAAAGGGGAATAGTGTAAATAAATTTGTCCGTGCCGCAGGTAGATAAAACGTAACGTTTTGTCGGGATGTCAGCCTAGGTACGTTAAATGATAACTGACCCAAGAACGATAAATCATCTCTAGCATTATTGATCAATTTAAACAGAAAAATCACGTCATGTTTTTCAAGTAAGGAATCATGAGGTATACCTATGGGCGGGTAAACGCCATCCACTTTCAGTGACAAATATTTTAAGAAACGTCTTTGAACACATTCAAGCCTACTTATATGAATAATATGATGCGGAATCCAAATTAGCAATGCATACTCAAGCTTCGACCTAACATATGCATAATATAGCAACTTCAAGGTGGTACTCTGAGTGAAGTCACGGCAATTTCTTATAATAAAGCCGTACATGCGGTTTGCCTCGGAAATTTTGCTGTCAATGTGTTTGACGAATGTTAGTTGGGAGTCAAATGTCCGCCTAAGTCACATAAAGTTGAAGTCCTCTGAATAGAGCTACCTGACAGGGTATCGTCAAATAACAGAGAATTTTTCTTCAAAGTGTAAGACATCACGTAACATTTTTTGATGTCTAATGACTATAAATCTACTTCCCAAGCCGACTTAATAAATTCAGTACAGTCTTGGGTGCTTAAAAAGAACGTTTATAAAATGGCTTAGACCATTGCATGAATTAGTACTTATTAACTAAGCTCACCTTCGCTAGCTTGTGTCCCTTGTCCAAGAATAAGAATCGCCAGTGTCGCCGCCGTAAGGGCTTTCGCGCCCTTAAGGACCTCCGGTCCTCCTCGATGATATTCCATCGTGGTGACCAACTCACAACTGACCGCTGATTAGAGCAATAATCTCTTTTATACGGCGATAGCGCTTTGATAAACAGGATAATGCGCTGGCGACCGGTGGTACCCGCCGTTCGTGATAACTCTCTGCCTTGATGCTCTGCATCCCGCCGCTGTGCTTCGACGAAGAACGTACCGTTTACAGGATGGTTCAAGCTCAAAAAAAAAAATTAGTCGTCAGTACGACTGCACTGAAGCCAATCAGACGTTTCCATAGCTTTAGTGCTGGATTTCCTTGGAAAGCTGTTTCACTGGAGTTTCTATTTTTTCAATTATTCATTTTGCATAATTAATTTTTTTATACCGCAGCAGGCCGCGCAGGCAGAAGCCTAAATGCCGGGACACCGCGGCTGCTATGAGAATTCCAAAGAAATTTTGAACTGCCTAAAGTCAGTAGAACTGGGAAAAGCTTCCTCTTGTAGAATGGTCCACAATCTCGACATTCTCTGGACAAAGGAGCGGTCGTATCGACTAGTTCTGGATGTATGGGGTTGTCCAAAACGGACACAGGAAAGTAAACGCATATTAAAACAAGAAAGATTGATATTCAAATCAAGTTGGGTACTTTATTTTGAAGGTTCATTTATACCATTTATGTATGAAAAATAATATTGCTCAAATGTTCACCTCGACTGGATTTACAGACGTCCACGCGATGGTCGAAATTTTCAATGACATTTTGCAACATGGTCGGTTCTATGGCATTTATCTCGGCAATGATGTTGTTTTTGAGTTCTTGGAGGGTGGCTGGTTTGTTGACGTAGACTTTGCTTTTCAAATATCCGATCTTGGTGGCCATGGCACATTTCCTCTGCGCGAAATCACGCGATCACCGAAGAAGGACTGCAATCGATGGATATTGACGTTGGTTGTGTGGCATGTTGCACCGTCTTGTTGGAAATAAACATCGTCCATATCCATTCCTTCAAGTTGCGGCAAAAAATAGTCCTCTATCATCGCGTGATATCGCTCAGAATTGACGGTAACGGCGTCCCCGGCCGCATTTTCGAAAAAGTAAGGTCCGATGATGCCTTTTGACCACAATGCACACCACACAGTCACTTTTTGAGGATGCATCGGCTGCTCTTGATACTCACGGGGATTTTCGTTCGCCCAGATGCGGCAGTTTTGCTTGTTTACCGTCCCATTCAAAGTGAAATGCGCTTCGTCGCTGAACATGATTTTTGATGAAAAATTGGCATCAATTTGGCGGTGTTCAAGGATCCAATCTGAGAACGTTCGGCGCGAAAAATGGTAGGCCCGACGCAGCTCTTGCATCAATTGGATCTTGTAGGAGTGTACATTCAAATCCTTGTGGAGAATGCGGAGCAAACTGGTTCTCGAAATGCCCAATTCTTGGGATCGACGCGCTGTTGATTGTTTCGGATCGTCTCTCACACTCTCCTTCACAACAGCAATATTTTCCGGTGTGCGAACGCTCCTTGACCGGCCAGAGCCTGGCAGATTTGCCTCAGAACCTGTTGCCTCGAATTTACGCACCAGACGACCGATGGTTGTTTCGTTTGGGCGGTTGTTGCGACCGAAATGTTCACGAAGCGCGCGAAACGTGTTTTTTATTTTTGCACCATTTTTGTAGTGCTCTTGAATAACTTTAATGCGGTCTTCAATCGAATACGACTCCATAGCGATCAATGGTAAACATTCAACTAACAAAATGACATGTCGCGGCGGCATCATGGAGGAGACCTCTGAGGAGCAGAGCCCGTTGGCGTAGCGGTAGAGGAGAACTAGATCGCCGACGGCCTGCGAAAGTTTTCTTATAAAAAAAGTGAAGTAAAAACCTTAGAGTTGCACAACTTGTTTATAGGCCAAAGAAAAGCCACTATTAACTCCACTGCAAAATAAAAATCGGCTTAGAAGGGTTAAAGAAAATAGACAATGGAAACCTCAACAATGGTGTGCAATACAATGGAGTGATAAGGCCCGATTCGAAGTTTGTGATGGTGACAGTCGCAGTAGTTATTCGCAAAAAAATGAAGCATTCCATGTTGACTGTCTGAAGAGAAAAGTGAAATTTCCAGCATCCATTAAGGTCTGGGGCAGTATGTCATCAAAAGGAGTAGGAAAATTTCATTTTATTGATGGAAATGTGGATACAAACAAATATTTGGCAATTTTAGAAGAATCGCTTTTACCAGTGATGGAAGAATGTTTCCGGCCAAGATTTTGTGTTTCATCAAGATAGGGCAGCATGCCATACCTCAAAAAATGCTATAAAATGGATGGAAGAAAATAATGTACCACTTTTGAAATGGGTTTCTAGTAGTCCAGATCTGTCACCTATTGAAACTTTGTGGCACGAGATGAAAAAGGTTCTACGACAACATCTTGCTCGTACAATCACCGAACTGAGACAAAAGCTTCAAGAAATATGGGATTGTTTTACACCAAATTTTTGCCAAAACTTAGTTAATACTATGCCCCAAAGAATTTCAGCCGTAATAAAAAATAAAGGTGATGTTACCCAATGGTAATCTTTCAATTGATGCTTTGTTAACTTCGCGCATTTATTCGCACATTGTTTATTTGTTCAGATGTTCTATTAGTTATAGGTCTAAGTGATTTCAAATATGTATTTTTTACGACTAGAGTGTATCTAAAATGTTTTTGAGAAAATAAATTGTTTTAGAAGTAAATAGTTGCGTCATGTTTAGTTTATAGCGGCATATTTTGGTACAAATCTTGAAGTGGGTCAACTGAAGTGAGAAGGGGCTCGTATGATTTTACTTTGTCAGCTTATACGTATACAAAGAGCTGACGCATTCATTGTAACAAAACTGAAAATTTAACTGAATTTATGCATACGTTTCCGTATATTTGGTTGTATACTTCCCTAATGAATAAAATACGTTTTACATACAAGCTTTTATTCAGTTGTTCAAAAAATGAACTAAAAATAACAAAATAATTTCTCCGAGTGCTGTCAAAATGTAACGCTTTTATTTGAAAAGTTGGGTTAAAGCAGCTTCTTTATAATCTAAATATTTCCAATCAGAAAATATTGTTTTTAAATTCTTAGTGCATTTTATTCACAGCTAAATAAAACTTTGTTTTTAAAAATGTTTTTTATTTAATTTTTTTTTATTTTTTAGTACCTATGTATAACTTTCGTATATGTATTTTATTAATAAGACTCTATAAAACTTCTTACTTATATTGTATTTGCACAATAAAATTTCGGTGGATATAAATCATGTAATGCTAAGTCGATACTTTGCGGCGATCGTCATATCGATTTTAGAATGCCTTTATTTTCTTATCGTGTTTCTCTCATTAAGCCATTGATAGCGGTGGTCACGGAATTATAAATCGCCTTCAAGCCTCCGCCGCCATATTTGATCTAGAATGACGTCACTTTGCTTATACAGGGTGGTCCATAAGTCCTTTGAAATTTCAAATTTGAATAAAATTGAACGGGTGAGCGTGAGCAGCGCGGGCGAGGTGGGGGCAGTATCTTCAGTGTCTGGGAATTCAGTCGCCATGGAGTGTTTCACTGGAGCGGATCGTGCTTTTTGTGTGCGCGCGTTTTATCAAAATAATGATTCGGCAACCATTGCGCGGCGTAAATATCGAGAATACCACAATTTACACAATTTTACAAAGTGTCCAACAGCTCAAACGATTAAGAACTGGGTTGCTAAGTTCGAAGAGACTGGTTCGACGTTAGATAAACAGCGGTGGGGTCGACCAAGGACAACTCGTATTGAAGAAAACATCAACATTGTGGCACAGTCTGTTCGTCAAAATCCTACCCAGTCTACTCGTAAGCGTTCCAGTGCACTAAACGTACCCCGAACATCTTAACAGCGGATTTTAAGGAAAGATTTACGTCTGCACGCTTACAAAATTTAGTTAGTGCAGGAATTAAAAGATAATGACGGTATTCAGAGACTAAACTTTGCGAATGAAATGTTGAATCGATTTTCTTCGCTCAATAATGTGTCGTTCTCGGACGACGCTCACTTCCATTCAAACGGGCATGTAAATAAACAAAATTGCCGTTATTGGAGCCCCGAAAATCCAAGGCGTAAGCATCAGAAGCCCTTACACAGCCCTAAAGTTACAGTTTGGGCTGCTATGTCAGCGCATGGCATCGTAGGCCCTTATTTTTTTGAGGACGACAGAGGTCGCGCATTAACTGTTACTTCGGAGCGGTATGTAGCAATGATAGAAGAGTTTTTGACACCAGCGTTGCAGAATTTTCCAGGCTATAATACGCAGACCTGGTTTCAACAGGACGGAGCAACTGCCCACACCTCCAACACTTCTATGCCCGTCGTCTGTCAACTTTTTCCCAGCAAAGTAATTTCTCGAAGAGGAGACATTTCCTGGCCACCACGTAGTCCAGATTTGACCCCAATGGACTTCTTTTTATGGGGCTACCTCAAGAGTAAAGTGTACGACACCACTCCGCGATCAGTTGATGTCCTGAAAGAAAATATCCGAAGAGAAATGGCAAGCATTACAGTGTTGACTTGCCACGCAGTCATCGACAATTTTAGATGTCGTTTATATGAGTGCCGTGATCGTAATGGATTGCATTTAGACGATGTGATTTTTAAAACATAATTCCCATTCAATAAAGATGATAACAAAATATAATAATTCTTCATAATGTAACTAGTTTGGTTTTATTCCTTTTTTTCCAGCTCAAAGGACTTATGGGCCATCCTGTATATTTCCCTCGTTAAGGTCCTTCATTTGATGCCCCTTTAATTTGATACCCATATCATATGGTAACTATGATAATTAAAAACGCCGTTTTTTGACGTTTTGGAGTATCGCCAAATACAAACACTTATCCCTCTTTTTAGGGGCAAAAATTGAAGTATTTCCCCGTACATTCTCCCCTAAAATAGAATGACATAGAAATGCTTTCGATCCGCACAACTGCTTCTGCTGTTTGAGATCACCGGCCAGCGTACCGGTCTTGTCAAGTGTTCTGGCCTTGTGGCCGTACTGCCGCGTTTGACGCCTGGTATCGGTAGGGCAGGGGAATGATATCGATGAACTGATTGTATGGGCCTGTTTAACTGACTTGATCCATTCAATTTCTCAGTTATACATGTTCGTACCTAACCTTTTTACATAGGTTCTAAC